TAGTCCCAACTACTTGGGAGGCTGAAGCAAGAGAATCGCTCAAGGCCAAGAGTTTGAGGTTGCTGTGAGCTGTGACACCACAGCAATCTACTGAGCGCAGTCAGACTGTCTCAAAAAAAAAAAAAAAGGAAAAAAGAAAAGAATCAAAAAGGTATTAGTTAGAAAAGAATAAAAAAAGAAGACACGTAGGAAGCTAAAAAGAAACTCAAGAAGAATTAGGCAAACATTCAACAGGGCAGCCCTCTGGCTCCCAGATTAATGCTATTCTATAATGCTGAATGAACAGACCCCGAATCCCCTGCACCTATTTACTGCTAGGCCTTTGGCCACATCCATCTTTCCTAAGCTTCCTCAGGGACTGGCTATCAGCTGAACAGGTAATTATCCTCCTTTCTGTTCCCCAACCATAACCCACATCACAAGCTTAGCACTTTAGGGGTCTGAAGTCTCTCTCACCTTCTTCTCAAAGTCATCCACCAAGCCTGCCTTGGCCACATTGGCCTTGTAGTAAGCCCAGTCAATAGCTGGTGGATTCTCAGGTAGAGCAGCCAACCTGCTCACATGGAAAAGCAAAAGTTAAGACAGTCCTATAAGCAAATGGAAAGCTTGCATGGTAATGTTTATTCCTATGGCCTAGAGTGTCACCACACTTTTTTAGGGTCATTATGAAAATGCATCAGGAATTGATACGTAATTCCAAAACAATGTTTTGCTTCTAGATTCAGTGGCAAGTATGGGGCTTTCCCTCAGAAACATACTGACCTGGAGGTGAGGGTCTCACTCCAAGATTTCAGGGAATTAGCAATAGCCTTTTGATTTCGAGGTATGATCTCTCCAAAAGCTACCCAGTCAATGGCTTTTAGAGCAAGTTTTCGCCCAGCCATCTTGGAATCCTAGAAAATAAGTCAGATCAAAACAAGGATCTTAGAATCTTCTAAAAGGCATCTTAGAGACAGGTAGGTCTTTAAGAAAAAGATGTGCTTCCATTCAGCAGTCGGTGGGCATATTTATCAACTAGAGGAACTAAGATTACTAAATCAGAAAAGGAGGACAGTTTAGCTTTTCAAATTCTTCAAGGTGTGCAATCTAGCACATTAATATAATCTCTCCCAGCAGACTGGCCTTCCTAATCCCAGAACTTTGGAAGGCTGATGCAGTAGGATCACTGGTTTTTTTACCTGAGACAGAGTCTCACTTTGTCACCCTCAGCAGAGTGCTGTGGTGTCATAGCTCACAGCAACCTCAAACTCTTGGGCTCAAGCAATTCTATTTTCAGCCTCCTCAGTAGCTAGGACTACAGGCAGTCACTACAGTGCCTGGCAATTTTTAGATAAGGGGTCTTGCTCTTGTTCAGGCTGGTCTCGAACCTGTGAGCTCAGGCAATCCATTGGTCTCGGCCTCCCAGAGTGCTGGGATTACAGACATGGGCCACCACACCCAGCCGAGGATCACTTCTTGAGCTGCAGAATTTTTTTTTTTTTTCAGACAGTCTCATTTTGTCACCCTCAGTAGAGTGCTGTGGCATTAAAGCTTACAGCAACCTCCAGCTCTTGGGCTTAGGCGATTCTCTTGCCTCAGCCTCCCAAGTAGCTGGGACTACAGGCGCCCACCACAACACCTGGCTATTCTGTTGTTGTTCTTGAAGTTTGGCCTGGGCTGGGTTTAAACCCACCACCCTTGGTATATGGGGCTGGTGCCCTACCCATTCAGCCACAGGTGCCACCCCAAGCCCAAGCCCAAGAATTGGAGATCAGCCTGGATGAAATAACAAGACTCTGTCCCTACAAAAAATAAAAAGAAATTTTAGCCAGGTGTGGTGGCATGTACTTGTAGTCCTAGTTACTTGGGAGGGTAAAGCAAGAGGATTGCTTGAGTCTAGGAGATGGAGTTACAGTGAGCTCTGATCATGCCACTGCATTCTAACCTGGGCAACTGAGTAAGATCTTGTCTCTTAGTAAATAAATATATATATATTTTTGAGACAAAGTCTCACTCTATGGCCCTGGGTAAAGTGCTGTGGCATCATAGCTCACAGCAACCTCAAACAATCCTCTTGCCTTAGCCTCCTGAGTAGCTGGGACTATAGGCACCTAACATAATGCCCAGCAAATTTTTCTATTTTTAGTATAGATAGGGTCTCACTCTTGTTCAGGCTGGTCTCCCACTTCCGAGGTGAAGCAATTCACCTGCCTTGACCTCCCACAGTGCTAAGATTACAGGCATGAGCCACTGCACCCAGCCTAATAAATAAAATTTTAAGATAGATTGTCTTTCCGCTATCCCTCAACTCCTCCTCATCCTTAAAAGACAGGCTTTCTTTTTGATCTCTACATTCCTTTGAAAATGTTGCTAAAATAACTCATCCATTGCATAAAAGTTAATAATTTAAATACATTTCCATCTAGATTGTTTCATTCACTGATTCTCCAGTACACAGAACATGATACACACCTAAACTTTAATAAGACTTAATAGGGCAGACTCTGGGCTAGAATTTCCCTATCTGTAAAATGGGGAAAACACTAGCCCTGCTTAACTCTGGGGATGGGGGATGGGTGTTAAAAGTATCAAATGAAATCCTGCATATCAACTTGCTCTACAGTTTTACACAAACTTAAGGGGCTCTCTACCCCCTTCCTATTAAGACAGGTATCAACACACCTGCACCTTTTACTTATGTCAGATTGCCCCTGCAGCTCTAATACATGCCCTGCATTTTAGGAGGTATCCAATGCATACATGAATAAGAGAAGATGGAATGTGGTTACAGCTGTTTTTTGTTTGTTTTTGGCAACCAAGACAGAATATGGGAAAATAATAAGCTTTAAAAGGTTAGGGTCAGGCTCGGTGCTTGTGGTTCAAGCAGCTAAGGCAACAGCCACATATACCTGAGCTGGCGGGTTTGAATCCAGCCCAGGCTGCCTAACGACAATGACTGCTGCAACCAAAAAATAGCCGGGCGTTGTGGCGGGCGCCTGTAGTCCTAGCTGCTCGGGAGGCTGAGGCAGAAGAATCGCTTAAGCCCAGGAGTTGGAGGTTGCTGTGAGCAGTGATGCCACAGCACTCTACCCAGGGCGACAGTTTGAGGCTCTGTCTCAAAAAAAAAAGATTAGGGTCAGACATTAGAAGATGGCAAAGCCAAAGATCTTTGGAGTGTTTAGAAGTGAAGTGGAAAAAAATCTTCCTCGGTATTTTAAATTAAGTTGTCAAACACCTGTCTTTTCCTTTCTTCCATTCTCAAGACAGCATGTTTCCTGGAGTTGGGGGAGCAGTTAAAGCACTTAGCAGATAACTTTTAAAAGAGACCAGAGAAACGGGCACCTTTACAGAGACTTTCCCAAGCACCAGAAAAAGGTAGGAGTCATAAATGCATAGTTTTCTTTAATTTTTTTAACCCAATTCCCCCACCGCCTAGAACGGGTCATGTGCATAAGAGATGCTCAATGAATCTTCGTTGAATGAGTAAATGAACCTTGCACCTAAGAAGCCCTGGACGCTCCACACACTGCAACCCTCCAGAGCTGTCTGTGTAACGTTTCCCAAGTCCCCGAATCGGACTGTTGAAGAACGCCGCGATAGGTCAGGAATGAACACGAGACACAGTTTGCGGCAGCACCTAAATCCAAGCCAGCCGGGGCCGGGTCACAGCTTGGCCCTGGAGGGGTGAAGAAGAGATCGAGTAGCAAAGTGCAGCAGCTACTCCTGGAGCACCCCGTCAGCGGGGCAACCCGAGGACCCAGCGTTGAGACACGGGGATGAGACAAGGGTTGTCGCCAGGCTTAGAGGCGGCAGAGCAGAGGAACGCACCGAGGCTCAAACCCCCGGATTCCACTCACCTTCACCGACCCCGACGGCCACAGTCCACAGCAGCAAGTAACGGAAGTGCGTCACCGGAAGACATCCTCTCAGCCAACCTCAAAGCCAAAGGAGCGGTCCTGGCTCCGCAGTTCAGCCACTAAGGATGGGAGCTGATTCCGGAAGTCTCGCCCCTAGGGCGGGCACAGCGCCTCCACCGCTCGGGTCCCCGGGCGCTGGTTGGGGGCGCTCCCCTCCTGCCCCACCCCCGCCGATGGGCCGGCCCGGCTCTCCCTGCCGAGAAATGGGCCGGCCCGGCTACGCGCGGGCAGCGGCGGCGGCGGCGGTGGCGGCCCAAGATGGCGGAGCTGCAGCTGGACCCGTCCGTGGCGGGGCTGGGAGGGGGTGGTGGGAGTGGTGTGGGCGACGGGGCCGGCCCGGGCCGCGGTCCCCCCAGCCCGCGCCCGGCTGGACCTATGCCCCGCGGGCACGGCCGCCCGTCTGCCGCTGTCGCGCAGCCGCTGGAGCCGGGTCCCGGACCGCCCGAGCGGGCAGGGGGCGGCGGCGCGGCCCGCTGGGTTCGGCTGAACGTGGGCGGCACCTACTTCGTGACCACCAGACAGACTCTAGGCCGGGAACCCAAGTCTTTCCTCTGCCGCCTCTGCTGCCAGGAGGACCCGGAGCTGGATTCAGACAAGGTGTGCCCCGCCCTCGGGCGCGCCCCCGGGCCTTCAGACCCCCTGATCTCTCCTAGACTTGTCCGCAGAGTTCTGGGACCTGCTCCTCACTGGCAGCCCCTTCAGACCGCGCGCGAGCCCATCCTCCCCTTGGTTTCCCACGCTAGTCCCTAGGGCCTCAGAAGACCCCTCTCTTCATCCCCATCCTCAGGCACACCCCAGCCTTCTCTCTGACCTCGCCCTTCGTCCCCAGCGACTCGTTGCCACCCAGCGTCCACCCGCACCCACAAAAACCCACTCCACACCCCTTCTCCGTATTCTCTGCCTGTCTCATCGCAGCCCCTCTGATCTCCATGAGTTTCCCCTGGTTCCTCTTCAGCCCCCCACTGCCGGTGCCAGATGCTCCCAGAACTGGGTCAGGGCGAGCTAAGGCATCTTTGCAGCTTTGTCAGATTTCACCGACCCCTCTTGCCAAGAGCTGCAGGAAGTGTTTCTTGTGGTATCACGCTGCTTTCCTGTGGTCCTGGTCCCAGAACTTTATCCGTTAACAATCGCTGTTTTAGATCCATAGTTGAGATCAGATGCCTTCCTTAGAAAGAGGTTACCTTTTACCAGTGCAAATCTAGGCTAACCGGTTAAGAGAAAAGGAAAAGAAAGGAAGACCGAGGAATGCCACTGGGCAAGATGCCTGGCTGCTAACCAAAGGACTGAGAGGAGTTAAGACACTTAAACCATTTCCAGTTTGAACTCTCTGAATTTCTCTTTAACTTTACTCTTTCGTCTTTTAGTTCCCAGCCTAAAGGCACAACCATAGCTTACATCACCTTATATCCCATATAGCATTCAGCTGGTCACCTTGCAACGCTGTGGGATTGCATAAATGTTTGTCGATTTCATTTATTCCTCTCCTACCTCTCTAGTTTCTCAGATTGATAGAAACGTATCCTTCCTTAACTTTAAAGAGATTCCAAAACCCTTGCTTTTAAAGGAATTATTTTTATCTACCATATAGCTTCCTTGTGGCAGTGTAAGCCAGTTTCTTCTTGTCCCTTTTACTGTAAAGATGAGTAGGATTAAAGCTACTCGGAGCCAAGTCCTGGCAGTACCAAGCTTCCTCTGGGCACAGAGCTGAGTGTGTGAGATTTCAGCTGGCAGTGCAGACTCCCACTGATGTTGGCCTTGAGCTCAGGAGCATTGGCAACTAAACAGAGGTTTTCTTCGAGTTAGGAATACAGTTCAGGGGCAATGAAGAAGTCAGAATGTCTTTCTAATGCAAAGATTTAAAGGGAGCAGCTTTGGCGTTTTCTTCCTTTCCTATAACAAATATCCTACAAAGAATGTTGGTAATTGCTGTCTAAGCAAAGCAAAGATTTTAGAAATTCAAGCCACTAAGTTATGACTGTGCATCTGTAACACCCTACCTGAAGTGACTTTAAAGTACAAGATACATAATGATAGCTTTCTTGCCAATAGTTTGTGATAAGCAAATGTCTAGCAAACCTTGCCGTCACTACAGTTTTTTAGCTGATGTAATGAATTATTGTCTTAGAGTGCTAACAAAGAGGGTAAAGCCCTGGCCTGACTTTGTTTAAAATGCTCTGGAAAGCTCCATAATGATTGCCTTGTATTTGGTTGGCAGGATGAGACAGGGGCGTATCTGATTGACAGGGACCCCACCTACTTTGGTCCTATCCTAAACTACCTCCGCCATGGGAAACTCATCATTACTAAGGAGCTGGCAGAAGAAGGTAAGAGCACTGTTTGCACTATTTGCTTTTTCAAAAAGCAGGTAGAATGTTTAAAGCTGTTTACAGATTTGAATTTTAGGATTTTCATTGAGCTCATGTGCAACTATTTATGGAACTGAACAAGAAGCCTAAAGGAGTCTTCTTTAAGGAAGTCATATTGGGCTATATACAGTTCTTTTTGAAAGGAAGATAAGTAACTTAGCTGCTTAGGATATCTTTCCAAACTTCCAGAAATGTCAAAATCCTTTTTTACATTTGTTTATGTGCTAGCAAGAAAGGTCTGTAGATTAAATAATCAAGACACCTCTCTGACATCCAGTTTATTGGTATGTTCTATTTTAGTTTAAACTTGGAATCTGTAAAAAAAAATAATAATAATAAAGGTTTGGCCTCATTTCCTTTAAAACATTGGTCTCATGCTTCCCTGTAAAATTTTGCGCTGACCTAATTCATTCTCCAGTTCATTGTCAGGTATAGCATCAGTTACTTCATCTTTTTGGTTTATAGGGCATTTGGACTGTAAGTGGGTCTAGTCATCTTTCTGCAAGGCTTGACCTCGTCTTATTGAAGGTATTCAGGTGGAGATTTGGGACTGTCCCTAAAGCTGGGACACCCAGATCTAGGAGCTTGTAATGGCTGTAGTAGTTAATAAAGTGACTAGAAAACAACTCTGTTTCAGCTGGTAGAAAGAATTCTCCCTTTTCTTGATGTCCTTTTAAAAAAAAAAAAAAGTTTCAAATGCATACAAAAGTAATAGAAACAGTGTAATAAATTCCCTGCAAACAACTTCCCAATCTAGCTACAACTCCCAACTCATGGGTACTCTTGTTTCTTGAAGAGAGGAATAGTAAGTACCTTTTCTAATGCCTTTAATAATAAAAAATATTTATTTTGAAGCAATTTCAGACTTAGAGAAGAGAGCAAGAATAATACAAAGAACTCCCTTTACTCAAATTCACCGATTGTGAACATTTTTGTCATATTTGGATTATCATTTGTTCTGTGCCTTCTTCCCCTCTTTCCCTTTCGTCCTCCTGCCTACCCCCCCTCCCACCACAGTTTTTATTTTTGAACTATTTAAGACAGATTGCAGATCTTACCCCTTAATGTTTCAGGGTGTAACACCTAAGAACAAGGATGTTCCCTTATATTACCAGAGACAGTATAGTTATTAAACTCAGGACATTTAATCTTGATAAATATTTTATCTATAGCTTATATTCCAGTTTTGTGAATTGTCTTAATAATGGCCTTTTTAGCGAATTTTTTTTCCTGGTATAGGATCACACTTCTCACAGCAGTCATGTGTAAGTCCTTTGATTTTTGTTTCGCATGGGAGCCTTTCAATGATTTCCTTTTATATTCACATAGCATCCTGTTACGTTTGATCCAAGTATATTTTTATACATATCTCCTTTTTAGGGCAAATTGGGTAAAAATTGCAAGCTGAGGAGGTATCAAACATGATTAGTTCCAGGAACTAAGTGACACCACGTCCTGTGGCTAATGGGCAGGTACCAGGTAGGGAAGAGCAGAGATGAAACAGTGAGCAGAGGTGCTTAGACTTACACTGTGCTGGGGAAAGGTCATGGGTACACCCCACATAGTAGAGATACTTCCTAGGCAGAAGGAGAGAGACTATATTCACATTTTGAACTCTAGCCTCAGTGTGTTTCTAGTGAACTCTCTCCCTCCCTGACACCTCTCTGACTACAGTTTGGTCCTCATTCCAGGTGTACTGGAAGAAGCAGAGTTTTACAACATCGCGTCTCTTGTGCGACTGGTTAAGGAAAGAATACGAGACAATGAGAACCGAACTTCACAAGTAATGTATTTGGAACTTTTAAAGGGGGGATGTCTAAAGTGGCTTTCTCTGTCCACGTGTCAGGATGTGATCTGAAAAGGGTTCCTTTCCCTTCAGAACTGTGCAGAGGGTGCATGTTCAGCCAGCATTGCTCAGGACGAGGAATTAGAGGAGGAGTAACACAGAAAACAGAACCACCCATGTCTCTTTAGAAGATGAGGAGATTGTGGCTGCCTAACCATATGGCAGTGGGAGGAGCCCAGGGCACTTTAGGTCCAAAACCTGTTCTTTCTGACAGCGTATCTGTCTCCCTCCATGTAAAGACCAAGCAAGGTACTGGTTTCACCAGTTGGTTGCTCTTTTTTAAGACAAGCCTTTAGCATGTGATCATGCCACATCCAGTTCCTGTGAGCCACTTGAAATCAGTCCTATGGGGCAGGTAGTAGAAGCTGCTTGTGAGTCGTGCTTCTGAGACAGTGAGCTTGTCTTTATTATAGTCTTTTTTTTTTTTTCTTTTTGACACAGAGTTTCACTATGTCACCCTCGGTAGAGTGCCACAGTGTCACAGCTCACAGCAACCTCAAACTCTTGGGCTTAAGCGATTCTCTTGCCTCAGCCTCCCAAGTAGCTGCGACTACAGGCACCTGCCACAATGCCTGGTTATTTTTTTGTTGTTGTTGTTGCAGTTGTCATTGTGTATGTGCCCCCATACCCTAACCACTGACCTATGGGTGCCAAGCCTAGTCTTGATTTTTATATAACTCAGTAGATAACAGTAACAGAGTGAACAGAAAATGCCATCTAGTTTGTGACAAGGAAAGATAAGACGTCCTTAGCTTATTTCATATCACTGTCATTCACATACATTTGAATGTAAGCTCCTTTTAGGCCCTTAGAATTCTGTGGGTAATAGAAGCTCCTTGCTCTCAAGAAGCCTGAAGTCTTATGGCTATGTGCAGTGGCTCACACCAGTAATCCTAGCACTCTGGGAGGCTGAGGAGGGTGGATTGCCCTGAGCTCACAGGTTTGAGACCAGCCTGAGCAAGAGCAAGACCCCCATCTCTAAAAAAAAAAAAAAATAGCCGGTTGTTATGGGGGTGCCTACACTCCCAGCTACTTGGGAAGCTGAGTCAAGATAATTGCTTAAGCCCAAGAGTTTGAGGTTGCTGTGAGCTGTGATACCACAGCACTCTACTGAGGGCAACAAAGTGAGACTCTGTTCTCAAAAAAAAAAAAAAAATCCTGAAGTCTGCAGCAAAAATATGTGTCTCAGCTCTATTTTAAGAAAGTACAACTAGGCTTGGCACCTGTAGCTCAAGCAGCTAAGGCACTAGCCACATACACCTGAGCTGGCGGGTTCAAAGCCAGCCCCGGACTGCCAAATAACAATGACAACTAAAACCAAAAAATAGCCGGGCGTTGTGGAAGGCGCCTGAAGTCCCAGATACTTTGGAGGCTGAGGCAAGAGAATCGCTTAAGCCCAGGAGTTGGAGGTTGACAACTCTACCCTCTACCCAGGGCAACAGCTTGAAGCTGTGTTTCAAAAAAAGAAAGAAAGAAAAAAAAAAAGAAAGTACAACTACAGAGTTACAGTGACAGGGTAGAGTCATGCTCTACTGTGACCACCTGTCTTATAGCATAATTACCTCTTGTTCCCTCGGGTACTGATAGGATGCTTTCTTCAAGTAGAATCTCTTTACAGCCTCGAATTTTCTTGCCATTAAGAGGAAGGCAG